AATGACCAGTGGCGATTTGCTCAGCTCGGCCACCAGCGACCGACTTAAAGCTCTGAAAGCCGGCCTCGATTCCTGTCGCAAGTACATGCGCGACACAGGCGTCGAAAATGCCATTGACAACGTTTTCGGTTTCTTGACCCTGCTGATCGCTAACGTGTCACATTTTCTCTCCTGGTTCTGGTTTCACTTATCGGCCTACCTGTCGTATGTGTGGCTGTCGTTGCCGGAGTGGACAGAAAATTTGTACCGCTTTCTCGAAAGTGTTGCTCACTTTCTCTATGACTGCATTTTATACGCTTTAAACTTGTCGAAGCGATTGGTCGATGACTTCGTCACTAATTATCCTATTTACTGGGAGAAGATTAAGTTCGCCTGGAGGAATCTTAAGTGATCCTTATATTTGCTATATTTGGTTTAGGTTTTGATAAAATGTTGTAATTAACAATAAATTTACCGGTTGGTAACCGCATAACAGAAGTTGTATTTACGTAACGATTAATTGTTTGATTCAGTCAAAGTAGAAGGTACCACTAATATTGGAAGTTCGAATTAAATTCCTTGCAAGCATAACTCGCCACTGGGTATGAGCGAGGTATTGCTCTTGTCAATAAGTTGATGCAAGAGGCATCCATACCTTACTGATGACAAACACCACCAATGCGTGACGTACTTAAATCGTTTCCTAAGCATCTGCATGCAGGTGGTAGTGCAGTGCGCGTTGAAATCTGATTTTGGAGGAACAGAGCACTTATTACGGTAAGAGTTCCTGTTTAGCCGCTCCCCTGATTCATGCAATAATTAAAGTATTTTATTCGTCTATTATGGGCGAATCTTGCAAATGCTTCCAGAAAGGAAGCCGCAATAGCTACTACTTGCCCTACAGACCGGCCGAAGATTAACCTGCTGCAAGTGTACTAAAGGGCTCTTCTCTAGACTGATATCTTCTGTTTTTCTGCCATCTTAAGAACGTTTCCAATTTTTCTCTGAATTTAATTTTCTCACGTTACCTGAATTAGAACTGGACTATTTAAATAAGTCAATACTTTAAACTTTCTTTCCAAAACCAGTACTTGCGTCTCTTTAAAAATTTGTTTCTGAAAACACATTACTTGAAATGATGGCAGTTATTTTTCTAAAATTTGTGACAAGCATGAACACATACGCTTTATCCGCCTATATGTATTGTTCTTGCACTTGGTTAAAGTTGAGGATAGCCGAATTCTTAGGTCTACAAAAAAAAATTATCACCGTGTGTGACTGTAGTGCGGAGCACATGAATCATTCAGAAGTATCAAGCACTTGTATGCATATCAGCACAATAAAACTGGTCTATTAACATGTGCAGGTGTATTTTGCTATGCACCCAGGAAGTGGAGGATAACACGCTTCACTCTGAAACTACAGTTTACGAACAGACTTTCGTAAACCAGTTTTTAATATAGATCCCGTGTGCTAGTTCTTACTCTTACCATCTGAGGCACAAATATTTTGAACATCAGGGTTGGCTAGAACCTGAGCTGGTTGAAATATATATTTGAAGCAGCGTTTCTACGGACAATAAACAACGGTCATATTGCTGGTCAATACGAGATACTTTCAATGCTGGTATCGTAGTTTAACATAGCTGTGGCCAATTCACGCGTAAGCCACATGACCCGGACAGACGAATATTTATTTAGTTAAAGAAAAACAACTAAATACACACCTCGTTTTACAGTAACTCACGACTCATCAACAGTGGAAAAAATTCAGTCTCATATGTTGCACAAATGCACGTCCCGCAGATCGGTCGCCACGCAGCAGAAGAAATGAAAAGTTAGTAAATCATGACCGTTGCCACATTCACCTTCTCTGACTCATTCTGAGAAGCCCAAGCGTCAGACATTAATCTGAGTGCTCAGTCTTTGATCCTGATACTTCAGGTGACGATGAGAACAAGCTAAAATTTAGCATATACGCATACCCCTGCTACTTAAGACACTTCTATTTAGTTTGGCATTGCTGACTAGCCACCACTGGAAAGGAAACCGTGATCGGTGCAATATAAGCTTGGTTTTCATTCCGCTTCAATGATGTAGCTGCATATGAAACATTTTCGAGCAGGAGAGCTTGATGTAGGTGACTGCCAGTACATCACTGTTCTTCAGGCTTTCCACGTAGCTGTAAACATTCATGTGCCTCAGAATAATGAAAAAAAAACAGAAATCTCAGACTATTTTCATAGGCTAACTCAGCTATTCTGACCGGAACGACAAGAAAATAAATATCACCATATGTTTAAACTGCAGTTCAACAAAACAACAGTAAAATCATCAACAAAATATGGAGGCAACAAACAACAATCAATCAATGTCTATCTGAATGGTGTTCATCTCATTTCGCTTTTTCCATGATTTCCGTTTCCAATGATTCGATTCAGATCTGTTCTGGAGAACTTGATCTTTGTTCAATGGCTTTATAATAGTTCCCATTTTCGTTGTGACAGATGGCTGGTTGAGAGTAGTGAAAACGGTTTCTGGGTTCCACTCTCGGCCCAGCGGACAGCTCAGTTTGGCTTCAAACGCATCCGGAGTAGTGTATGGAAAGGGTAAAGAGGAAACTTGAAACCTCTTGACGGATTCTTCTCCTTTAAGGTTAAAACTTACTCTTTTAATCTCTGAATCTGGCGGCTTTTCGCTATTCTTTTTCCGCTTTTTGCTGACAATGTCAGGTCCAGTCCATCTGTTCCAACCAGGCATATGCTCCGGATCTTCTTCCGCCTTGTCAGCATTTTGCGCTTCTACCTCTGCTTGAAAATCAGCAACTACATCGTCGTCCGCAAAAGCTTCAGCAATGAGCGCTTCTTGGTCATCATCTTCGTCATCCGTCGCGTCCAAGTCCGCAGCTAACATAGGCTGCAGTTTGAGCTCAGCAACAGCGTCACTGCCGGGTGCCTAAAATCAAAAATAATAATGTATGAAACAGTCACTAACACTATGAGTGGCTAACCGTATCACTAAATTACCATGAAGCCGTGGACTACCTGACTGATTCCCTAATCATTTAGGAACAAGGGGCTGATTCAAGAACACCACGTAAATCCGTGGATTACACGTAATATAACAAGTTTATCATGAAGTCAAAGCCACTGTACAATTTACGGCCTGTATCTCATAAAGAATTGTCAGAGAGAGTTCATTTCTCGTGATGGTGTTGTTCCCAATTGAAGTTTAGTATCGATAAAAAAACTTTTTAATAAACCTAGTACTATATGTTTGAAAGCACTATGGTCATGAGTAATGGCTGAAAGAGTGATTCAACGTACAAACGGCGATAATATGGTTCGTTATAAGAACAGTTGGAATGAGGAGATTTGACAATCAGTCAGAGATAACCTTCTTCTGAGCAGCCGCTTGCGAGATCGAGAGAGAACTAGTAATATGGTCTGAATGCGGATGTCCGAGGACCAGAGTCTCAAAGAGTATCAATCTGCAATCCCACACATTAGATTGTGAAGGGCAGACCGAACATCAGTTAGTTCGATTACATCATCGAATTATTCCATGGCATCGTTCGGCCTCGGAACTAAGAAATGAAGTCTGCTCACTGGCAAAGGATCGGGATCATTGGAAAAACTCGAAGCTGCTTTAAAAAAATCAAGAATGAACATCGGCTGTAAAAACTGGCACATGGATAAATTTATAAAAAGCTATAAAATGTTGTTGTAAAACATGTAAACCTGAGATTCGTCCTTAGCCGATGCTTCACCGCCGGGAGCATCGAAAACGGGCAAAAGATGAAAGCTTTCCGCCTCTTCCAGTTCGCGAGTTTTCTTAACCTTTTCGGCAAGTTCTCGGCTCAGTCTGAACTGTTCCTGCAATGCCTCCCTAACTTTTGGGTCGCGTTTTTGGTAGACTCGCATCTGTTTCGCCCATTTGCCGGTGCCACGGTGTTTTAACAGCGCCCGTTCCATGATTCGATCCCTCTCCAACTCGTTCCATTTCTCTAACGCAGCCTTAGGATCCGTGGCTATCAGCTCTTCGAACTCCTTCAGCGTCTTCTGCCGCATGCCGCGCTTCAGCAAACGATGGTATTGCTTGCCCTTGATCCGCTTTTGTCTTTTGAACTTCGCCTCTTGGTAAGAAACCAAAGCCCTCATACGCCGCAGATAGTTTAGTTTCTCATGCGCTTCTTTGATGCTCATTTTCTAAACCGGCAACAATAAATTATAGCAAAAAAATCAAAATAAAACCTAATTAAGCAAACAAATACTCATCACAGTTGTAATCATGATCAGCCTTAAGGCGATTTCTCGGAAGAGCTGAACGGAATCAAAGGAATCGCAATCGATTGGGATAAGTCGTGCAGATCAAACATTCACCCTTCAGAAACTGGTGAAAAAAAGTTGTCTGATTAGATAATGGCTTTGAGCCATTTACATAAGGAAAACGTCTCTGGTTTATT